GTGATAAACAAGTATACGCAGAACATGATGGAAATGTCCAGGAAACGATCTGTATACTCGCGCATCCTCAGCAGCATCCTGAAAACATCCCCCGTAGACTAAAGTCATATTACCATTTTCGGTTATTCAACCCCGACTTGTTTATATAGAAGCAGCCTCATAGCCAGAAACCTGAATACCAGAAGGCACTGCGGCTGGTCAGAGGAGCTTAGAGACACTTTGCTAGTTTTTTTTTCTCTGGCTCACCGACAGGGATCGGCTTGGCACTCTGAATTCCTGCGTGTTGAGTGCAGTCATCAACAAAGTGCGAATCGAATGGATCATGTAGGAAAAAAGGTCGTTGATGTGTGCGAGAAACAATGTCAGAGCCGATTCAAATCCCTGGGGAACAGCTATGCTGACATTGTCGGATGAAGATTATAACCCGTCAATTTCGACAGGTGTCTTGCGGCCAGAGAGGAAGTCAGCTTCTTTGGGAGGTCACGTGACGTAAAAGGTATTCCAGAAGCTCCCTATTTACGCACTTCTACATAACCTTTTATTAGTAGAAAACAGTACTGTAGTTGCAAGTGTCGCTATTGGATCCTTTTTTGGATAGGCTAAATATGACCAAATTTTCAGTTTGCTTCAAGAGTGCCGGATCCGTAAGATATCTAAAAGAAAGATTTGGAGTAACCTCACACACATCTCTCAAGTAAAACGGCTGGAGTCAAGTCCGCATCAGAAGCTTAGTTTATGTGGAGCGGTGTTATGCATGAAAGCTACTACCCGCATAGTATTGGAAAAATTTTGAATCTGCGGTATTCGGGTGTGGCGAGGAACGTCCATGGTGGAGTTGGTAGCAAATTTCTTGGCACGCACTTCTGCCTTAGCCTTTGAGTCGGTTCAGAAACGAAAGCAGTGGGAGGCAACTCCTTGCCCAGTGCCTAATTTTTTCTGTACATCAGGGTTTTGTAAAAAGGTAGTGTGTGCCTTGATCTTCTGCCGACGAGCAGTGTCGCAGGATCCGTTCAACCGGCCATTGGACCTTGGTTTAGGTACTTTCACTGTATGAGAGATATATTCCCCATTTCCAACCTGGATAATTTCAGTTATTGACAAATACATTGCTGAAACATCGGAGTCTATCCAAGAAAATGTGAAGAAAGAGTCTCTGAACCCTTCACAGTCACTATGCCCGCATTGCCAAATTTGCGGCTTCAGCGAGTTTCTGCTAAGGGCATGTGAGAGAACCGCACCCGCACTCTGCCTGTTTTGAAGATTTTAACACTCAATGGAAATACACAGAAAATAATAAATTGGTGGAGTGGATGGAGAATTAATACCTAATTTTCGATACCAAACCCAACTAACAATAATTATCACTCCTATTAGAGTTGCAAGAATGATTATACAGTATTCCTTAAACAGCATTGTATACTGTAAGAACATTGGCAAAACCCTCTTAGAACAGCTATACAAGCGGAATGGGCACACCTAATAGGACACTTCAGTCATTTAAGAGGTTGTATAAGGGCTGCAGGTAACAGTTATAAAACAAAAGTGTAAGCCTCTTGCAGCCGCTATAGAACATTTGCGTCAGTGCAAGATTCAGTTTTTGTCAACTATACAACTATTCTGTTACGTGATTATACTTCATGGCAACCAAACTATTTCTTATGTATTGTATAGACGAAGTGAAGAATATATAACTAACACATTACAGTCATCTTGTTTACTTACATATCGGCCATTGTGAATTTCATACACAGGTATATGATAAACTTCTACAGTTTGGTATAGGGCTATTGAATTACTTGCGCAGCAAATTTCATTGTAATTATCGTGCAAATTAGTTACCCAGTTTCTACGTGCTTCGTGTTTGATTCATATTTTGACAGTGATCAAAAGTATGTCTAGATTTTTACGATGGAAAACTGAACTTATATCTTCCACCAATCCTATATTTAGAAACAATTACACTAATGTTTATCACTTTATATCTGTAATTTTGAACTGAAACATAATTATTTAATATTAAATAGAGGAATAAATGTTTGCCCAATATGGCGGGTGTACAATCATGGCATCGTCCATGTTGTCTTTAGGTTATTAGAATATTTTGGTGTTGCCTGCAGGTGTTATACAACAATTTGACAAATGTCTGAAATGAAATACCGACAGAGTCGAATTATTTACCCAGAATTTGTACCAGATCTATATCTTCTGTTTGAACAGTTGATAAAAACTTTTGAACCAATATGCACGCGTTGTTTGTCTTAAAACATTGGTTATGGCATTTTAATAAAAATATGACAGCAGAAAGTTAGGTTATGGTGAAGTTGTTTACCAACATATTTAGCATATGTACAGCCTTTAACAGTTACTAAACAACAGTTGTATAAGTGCTTCTGTTGGGAGCAATTTGTTGGCTAAGGTAGTAAATTGCACAGCAAAACAACAAGGCTCGGGTTTGTTTTATAAACGTTACCATGGATGCATTTTGACTAACTTGCAAATATGCCGTGTAAAATAGTTGTATAAACGTATGCTATAAGAATATTTTAAACACCTCATTTTAGAGCAAATATGTTGTAGAAAGCAAATTTGCATTCCACACAACATTAAGCCAGCGTTTTGGTGTTCAGACAACAACAAAAGAGAGCTTTTATGGCTAAACGGTTCTTTTACCAAAAGCTTATACCACTACTTTGCTAGTTGGGAAGAAATGAAAATATGATCCAGATCTGTTTCATTTCCACTAATGAGACAAACAACCGGCCACCATCAGCTTAACAAAAAGTTCTCTCAAGCTATCCTCACAGTCAGCATCGCCCCATACTCATGGAAATTGACACCACTATACCTACAGCAACCACACTTCCTCGTTCAAGGTGGAACCTGTAAAAAGACAACTGGGCTGCATTTTTAAGGACCTGAATGAATGCCTAGTTTGGATTTTGACTCTTTCGTATCGTGTATTCAATATCGAATGAGTCACTCGATTCTGTACGGAAAGAAATAAACTGCCGATAGGCCGACATATCGGCCTCTGATATATCAGTATCGACAAAATCCTATATCTGTCCACCGCTAGACTCTGTTCAAAGTTATAGCAAGCTTTTCAGACAAATTTACAAATGCCTTGCATGAGCTATTCACCATCAGCAAAATTCCTCAAAGGCATCTAAGAAAGCGGGGGTATGTACCAATTTTATACCCTGAACGGAAGTTCCGGTCGTTCTTTCGACCCGACGATCCGTGAAGTCCTTTTACGTGCCAATTTTCCATTAACCCAAATGCAGTATTCCCGAACCGAAATGAACTTAAAAACCAATTTAAAGTGTTTTTCTCTGTGCATAAAAGCAGCCCCTCCTCCCGCCCCTTCCTCCGCGGAGGGTTTCGAAGAAATTAAAACGAACATTAAGAAAATTAGATTTTTTGTCGTTCGCCAAGAAACGGTCACTGCTCGAGTAATTTAAATTCGATTTTAATTCGGATTTATGTACAAACAAAATTCAAATTAGATCGGGAAGCGAAATTAAACTGGAGCACGCGGAAAAATCTGGAAGTCGCATAAAGCTACTCGTGCGCGTTATATGTCATTAAGGGTAAATTGTATGGGCGCGTCTTTCTCTCTCTTGTAACGCAAATGGGGATCGATTACTGCTTTGCAATTAATTCTACAAAGGGTATTTCGTGGAGCGTTCAAAAATTCGTCATGCGAAGTTATTTCTGACGACAAGGGTCTATTTATTTCAATCCTTGGTTAACATATTCCTCCAGAGGGTAGCAGACCCAATTGAAAGATGTGTATATGCGGAAAAACGCATAGTTAAATAGATATTTTTAGTAATCCTGTCAGCTGTGCATAACAGATAGGTCTGGTCAAGGTAGAAACCGTAAAATAATGTGAATTCAAGACATAGATATAAAACAATAGATTCAATAAATCACAAACATTACATATTGTTACATTTATTATAGACATTTAATACACTTTTCTTATATGTACCGGAGCAGCCCTGCAGGCTGAAGCCTAAATACCAAGGCATCGCAAACGCTATGAGAAACTTTGTTGAACCCATTTTTGAGCTGCCTAAGGTTAGTAGAACTGGTAGATTGTTCCACAATCTCGATACCCTAGGGACAAAGGAGTGGTCGCACTGGCCAGTTCTTGCTGTACGACATGGTTAGAATGGGAAGCTGAAGCCAGGCGGGTCTGGCTGGCAGGCACATCGCACGGCCGCATCTTGGCGAGTAGCTCTGAGGAGCAAATCCCGTTGGCATAGCGATAGAAGAGAGCTAGATCTCCGGCGGCCCGTCGGTGCGAAAGGGTTCCGAGACTGTCCGGTAGAGAAGAGTCATCTGACGGTCCTCATCTGAACAGTATCAGGCATGGATAATGTAGTAGCGGCGGCAGCACCCCGAACATGTGAGTAGTATTCGAGGCTAGGTCTTATCTGGGCGTTGTACAGAGTGAACGGATTGTGTCGAGACAAGTACTTCTTATCCCTAAGCAAATAGCCTAGCTTTTTCCCAGCAGCTGCAGCTATTGACGATATGTGTTCTAGTGATGCAAAGTTTCGTTACTTTTTAGGACCTGTAAGGACTCGTTACTTTCGAACTTTGGACTCGTTAGTTTAGTTACTCTTTGAACATTTCGTTTAGAACCTACATTCTATATATTATATCAAATTATTACTTTGGGATTGATCCAATTATTATTTTTTGTCTAATGCCTTGCCTATTAATTTTTTTGATATTTGATACGTAGAAGGTACTTATATTTTAAACTCGTCGTTGTGTGACGTCTCGTTCGTTGGCTGTACGCTGTAAATAGTATTTAACAAGTGGCATAACCAGATGGGTACCGTGGAGGAACCACTCTCCTCACTCTTTACTTTAGTTGAGTAGCGTCCCCTGCCCTAACAGTCTGGTTACTCCGCTGTCCTACTTAACAGTCTGGTTACTCCACTGTAAATGGTGTTCAACAAAATACTTATAATAATAAAACATACCTGAAACTAAGTTCCTTTTGCACCTAGGCATATTTTCGTCTTCCACCCGCCGTTTTGCCCTTTCTCCTTCCAATGAAAGAGTCGGATGTTTAGTTTTCAAATGCTTCCTTAAATTGCTAATGTTTCCATTTTTATGCGAATAAATATTTTTACATAGATTAGACTTTGCATTAGCTTCCGATATATTGGTGAAATGCATCCAAATAACACTTCTTTTTTGAGTTTGCGATTCTCCTGAACCGGACGCGGATGATTCCATATTTTTGTACAAATAATAATTATATTATTGCTCGAGCTTGTACGGCAACGTCCAAACCAGTAACAACCCGCCAACCGCTAGCTCTCAAAGTCAAATGAAAAGTGTACAGGTGTACACAAACATTGCCAACCTAAAGCTCCGCAGTCCGCAACTCGTTTGATAGAAGAGTATCTAAAGTTGCCTAAGCCTAACGATATTCGCATGATTTCATTTCCACCCAGTTTACATCCAAGAACCAAGTCACTTGCTGCTGGCGCTGGCAGTACTGGCTACATTAGATCCCAGTAACGTTTGTATCTAAAGTAATGTATAGTGTAGTAACTAACAGTAATTAAAAAGTATACATTGAAAAAGACCGTATCGCATTCAAAGTAACGAATTCAAATAAAAAGTAACGAGTCTTTTCAAAAAGTAGGACTCGTTACATTTAGTTACTCATTTGTAACGATTATTTTGTAAGCGTTACTTAATTATTTTACATCACTAATTGTGTTCATGCCAGATGGATTCCGACAAGCCGAAATGAACGGCTCTTTGGAAAAACTCGACCATACGTTGAAACCATGTAGGAATACATGCTTATCAGAGTGATTTTGTGAATTCAGTAAATTCGCAAATTGTATGCTCTGGGGTCTTAATACTGTAGCTTTTTGTGTACCGGATGTTTATCGGAATATGCAGTAGGTACCGCTGTATTTCTCCAAACATATTTCACTATTATTTCTCGTTTCATATGTGTAACTAAAGCCATTAACATTTTCTCTATTGCGGTATCAATCAGTATATCCATCGTCCATCTGATGGCGTTTAAAAAAAGCGTAAATAGTAATTGTCTGTTACTATTGCTGTTAGCCGCAATTGTCACCATACACACTCGTGCCAGCTGGACTCAAACAAGCCGAAATGAACGGCTCTTTGGTAAAACTCGCCCATGCGTTGAAACCATATAGGAATACATGCTTATCAGAGTGATTTTATGAATTCAGTAAATTCGCAAATTGTATGCTCTGGCGTCTTAATACTGTAGCTTTTTGTGTACCGGATGTTTATCGGAATATGCAGTAGGTACCGCTGTATTTCTCCAAACATATTTCACTATTATTTCTCGTTTCATATGTGTAACTAAAGCCATTAACATTTTCTCTATTGCGGTATCAATCAGTATATCCATCGTCCATCTGATGGCGTTTAAAAAAAGCGTAAATAGTAATTGTCTGTTACTGTTGTTAGCCGCAATTGTCACCATACGTCAAACACACTGTATTTTAAAAAAATTCTTGAATCACATTATAGACCTGTCTGTCTAGATAACAGAAAAATTAGACAGGTTTGACATCAATATCATCGTGCTTGTCAAAATTATTGTGCAAAATGATGTTACGATCATCTAGTAGCAGATTCAGACGTAAGCCAAGTAGACCAAAAATCGTCAGCAGCGACCAATTCACGAAAGAATTCAATAAACTCAAAAGAGTTATTTCAATCACCGACATCAAAAAGAGCTTGCAGTCATCCAATTCTGAGGCTCGTTTCTATACAGACATCTCAAAAATGGAACTAAACAGATTACTAGAGGAAAAGCAAAGGTAAGTACTATGCAAATTTTTGTAGTTTTTTAGACACCACATTTTCATTCGTTAGATATCTTTACATTAAAGTTATGACAAAAATAATGGCGATATGGCGTACATGACCACATATTATTTTCAAGTACAGTGGACCTCCGATAATTGGACAAACATTATGCAGGGCAGTGTCGGACTATCGAATTTGTCGGATTATAGAGCACTGCCTAAGACCCCCTATAGTCCGGAATTTTTTACAAAAGAGTACCTTGTAATCTGACAAATTACGTATCCAATGGTAAGATTATATATGTTATGTATATGTATGTACTTTGAAGTACAAATTATACATAGTTTATGTCTGTCGAATTTAGTAAATTAAATAACAATAGAGAGCTCACGTTTTGTTATAAAATTAAGCATAAATGCACATACATATGTACCAAAATAATTAAGAATTATTAATCAAAATCATTAACGAATTTATCAAATTATGAAGCTTGGAAATATTCATCAATTTTTTTTGTTTAAGGTTGTTATAACGCGAGATCAGAGCTTTGTCCTTCAGTCTTCTCAAAAGTAAACGTTCGTTGTAGGATGTACCATTCTCTTCAGCTCATTGTAAACCTAGCTCAAAGGCGTTAATTGCGTCTTGTGCTGTGACTTGTGGAGCAGTTGCAATCACGTCGTCGTTACTTTCCTGATTGTTTGTTGTATAATTAGAAACCTCTTATATAATCTCTTCGTCAGACATGTCATGAAAAATATTTTCCTTTTTATCCATTCCACGGCACCAGATTTTAAAATCTTCCGGACTTATCTGTGTTTCAGTAGCGACTTGTTCTATAACTTCCGAAGTAACACTGATTTGTGGAACGTTGCTAGGAGTGGTGACTATATCTGGACATAACTTTTTCCAAGTCGATTTAATAGTTGATGACGGTAACGCATTCCACGACTGACAAAGAGCAAAAACCAAGTCTTTCATATTAAATTCTTTTAAAGTTTTTTCTATTGCTTGGTCTTTTGATACGGCTCTCAGAAGTAGGTTTTTCTTATAGTCTTGCTTGACAAACTGAATGATATTCTGGTCCATTGGTTGAATCAGTGCAGTGCAATTTGGCAGAAGAAACAGTGATGCATTTACCCTCAGTTGTTAGTTCTTCTTCAGGCGAATGACCAGGAGCGTTATCAAGAAGCTACAACGCTTTTTGAGGAAAATTATGATCTTTTAACCATTTTCTAACTTCAGGTACGAAGCACTCATCAAACCACTTTTTGAAAAGGTCTTTTGTCATCCATGCACTGTTTTGTCCGTAATAGTGTACAGGTAAATCAATGTCTTTGAATGCCCGTGGATTATTAGATTTCCCAACGACCATCATCTTACGCGCGTGTGTGCCCGCAGCGTTAGCACGTGGTAGTATGGTTACACGCTCTTTACTTACTTTTCGTCCAGGTACGGATTTTTCGTTACAAGAAACGAAAGTTTTGTTAGGCATCACACGCCAAAAAATCCCCGATTCGTCTGCATTGTACACCTGTGACGGGTCAAGATTTAAATCGCTCACCTTTTGCGAAAATCTTAATTTAAAGGGCTCTATGCAGGTGGCATTGTTAGAAAGTTTCTCTCCTATAATAGTCATTAAAAGTATGCCATGACGACTTTTAAAACGTTCTATCCATCCTTTGCTGGCCACAACATCATCTTTTTTTGTTATTTCCCAACATGGGTCCTGAAATTGGTGCATGCCTATTTCTTTGCTGAAGAAACCATATGTACAAAGCTTCTTCCACTTCTGGATGTTCAGCTTTCTTGAGTGTCGGTATCTTGCCTGGCCCGCAGTCAGTAGTTGACACGAACTTCTTGATCTTCTCGTGGTTTCTTTTAATGTCATAAATTGTAGATCGGCCTACGCCGTATTCACTTGCTAAACTACTGAAAGTTTCATTAATAAATATATATCACATTTTTTTTTATTTGTCAATGTTTTGTGCTTTCGCTTCTGAGTTTGTGATGACGCACGCTAGGCCGTACCGCTATCACCAGTAGTCAAATTCAAACTAAGTAAAACAATGCTTACGCGTCGGACACGATAGCGGTGGCGCGTACAAGTTGTAACCTGTTCAAACCTGCGTGATCTACATTAGCGAAGATTGTCAAATACGAATGTATGTAATACATATTCAAAGACATGTCGGATTACAGGGGGCGCCGGATTAGACAGGGGCCGGATTATCGGGGGTCCACTTAGGATTTTTGGTCACGAATATGCGTGTTCCTATGAATTGTCTACATTTCTTCTGACAATTAACAAAACCACATACCTCAAAAAACAGAGACGTTCTGGTCTATGTTCTTGTTTGAAAAATACAAATAAAATATTCAGTAAAAACTTATCTCTTTGAAATACTTTGTGTCATTTAACGAATTTTCGAAAGCTTTAGCAGACGCAAAATGCTGGCATTTGCACTTTTAAAAAGGTTATGTGGTTTTATTAAATAATTATATGGAAAGGAGAAACAAGATGAGTCATAGACCTAAACACAAACTAAAACCTCAATCAACAGATTGGATGCCAAAATCCAACAACACTACGAATCCATGAAAGGGAAGGAAATAGAAGGGTCAAAGGTAGTTCAGGAACTTTGGGAGCGTACGAAAAAAATCAACGAAGCAGCAAGAAAAAGAGGGGATAAACTGCATATAAAACCGCATCATTTCAAGAAGGTGTTATATGAGTTGAAGAAATTATCGAAAGAGCAGAAGATGAAGGGCCAACAGATGCTAGAAAAGAGGAAAAGGTTGGGCTCTAGGATTCAGCTTGCTCGTGAGACTGTGAACTTCTGTAACAAATTTGGGAACGTGAATAATAGCAAACGCGAAAAATAATTGTACGATAGATGGAGTGGACGTATATTGAGCAGCACATAGTGCTATGAGCTCAACTGTCACTTTTGTCGTTCAGAAAAGTATAAAACTGAAACCGTACTAAACAGATGTACTTAGGCTTTATAGTCAGTTGTTAAATAAACAAATACAAACACTATCATTTTAGAGAGTAGAATAAATATAGATTCTAATAAGATAAGTTGAATTCCTCAAGGCTAACTGTAAAATAGATCACGACTTTTTCCATTTTTACTTCGCTCGCATACTGGCGGGGAGGTAATAGTGACAATTTTCGAACATGAAACATTGGATGTTATATCACGAAAAACCATTTCCGTCGGTTTGTCTGTCTATCGGTCTGTCCGCTAATCTTATTACCGCCTATAACTTGAGAAGTACCGCTCGGATTTCGATGAAATTTTGACATAATGTTACTACTATAGCTAGAACGCAAAGGGTTTGTATTTTTTGAAAATTCGGTTTAGTGGCGGCATAGAAAGAGGTCAAAAACAAAAGAGAATAGAAATCTCTCAAACTTCGTTTTTTGACCTTTTAGGGGATCCTCGTCATTTTTGAAAAGAAAATTAGAGTTAAGAAGACTTGGAGTGGGAGTTTTAGGGAGGTGGGCAGGATGTATCTCTTTTTTTTACGTTACATTTATACGCTCACAACCTTGGTAATTCTATACCTACCGGCCTCGGCTGCTGCTCTGGCGGCGTGTGTTGCCGGCCCTGGTGAGTGTTCTGTTGTTCTTGTATAGTATTACACCTATTTCTGCCGCACCACAGCATAGTGCTCTAACCGTGCTGCCATGTCTGAGCGAGTTAGGTGTCAGGGAGAGGCGATGTTTCCAGATGCACTACCGGTAGAACAGAGAAAGATTGTCTATGGACTAATTATATCATGTTTGACTGACTTTTCTCTCCGAGGGTCTGGTTTTTGCTGAACTGATAACGGCGTTGCGTGCAGAGTCAACCTACTTGACGCCATTTATAGAATATAGCAACAACTGTCGCCAAATAAACCAACCGTCTGCCAGACTTCTGCCCCCTGGGATCCTTGTTTCTCACTACATATAACGATTTTCTCTGCTGGAACCGTACTCAGAACTAAGTAGAAGAGTAAAACAACTCTCACGGAAATTTTGCAAAAGTTTAAAATTTCGTTATCGGTAAATTAGAGCTCGTGTAATAGGAGAAGCTTCTGGAAGTTTTCCAGTGTCGAAATGGAGTCGCCGGGAGCAAGAAAATGTCTTGGCTGTCAATGGAGTTTTATTTATTTGCTGCTTACGGGTCATATACAGGGCAAGGTGTTGGGAAGATGAGCTCAGAAAACTTAAACGAAGCTTCATTTTCCATGATCATTTGAGATTTCGAAACCTTCACAACCTCGAACCTCATAATATAATGCATGCATACGCTTGATAATGCTCTGTTCCTTGTCTGCCGCTTTCTTGGTTCAGCTGCCAGTGTCTTTATTCCTGCGTAATCTCAGTAGCCGATGTGAAGATGGACTGCGACGAGAAGTACACGTTATGACATGTAATTTATGTAATTCTCAAAATTTGCTGAAATGAGTGAAACTAATAGAAATTCTTTGAGCCCTCTCAGTTGTAAGTTTTTGTATATCACTACTAAACGTATTTTCTAATTGCAGAAAAATCTTCACTCAGAAGCATTGTGGTTAATCATGCTTAGAATTTGTGAGATAACAGGTTTAAGCCTTGATATTTATACTTTTGATTTATTGTTGTACGGAGTGGACCGATACGTTTCATCGATCCTACATTAGACTAATTGAATTGTTGATCCAAAGGAATCCTTAGTTCAAAATACCCAAAAAGATGCCAGACTATTCGCATGACTTCAGAAAACATGAGTTTGTAAATGCGTTGCAACTTTTTTGCTTCTGTGTAACTAAAAAGGTAAACAAAAATATTCGAGAAAATAACAAATATGAAAATGTTTAGGGTAGGTACTCTAAAATATCAGTAGATATGGAAAGAAGAGAATCCGAAACCATAAAAAGGTAAAATAATGAAGAAGCGACATTTTTATATAACTTTCAGCTAGAAACCTCGTCGCCAGTGACCAGTCTTGAAAATGCATCGACCACTATGACGCTACAGCATATCGATCTCCAAACTTCGCAAGACCTGTTCAGTGGTTGTGGGAGTTTTCGCGGTGACATGAGTGCAACTGAGAGACCGGCAGAGCGGCAGATGGATCGACGAAAATATATTGCATACACGTGATAAGTTTTATTATGTCAAATTGTCAGTACCTGGAGTTTTTCCTTTGCTCATGCATAGGAGGTGAGAAAAACTACCATATACAACTATACAATATAGTGATAGTCACAAAAGTGCAGAGAAATTGCTAATAAACTGAAAACAAAATAGGCTCAATGGTCGCAGTTTATGTGCGAAGCTTATCGTAGCTCCCTCGTAAGCACAATTCACCGACTCTCGAGCTGCTTCACGCCAAGTTTATTGACCCATATTCAAACGTTCCCGCCGCTCACAACAGATGATTCGCGCAGCGTCGCCAACACAAAAGACATTCACCTTTTTGTTTTGTTTATCCAAGTGCCAAAGTGAAAATTATTTGGAAGGATTTACATTGAAACTTTTATGAACAAGCGCATAAATGATTGAATAACATCCCGGATAAATCGTGTCAGCCTTGAAATCGACCGTGGTCGTCTCGCTTTCGTTGTGATCCTTCCGCCTTAACCTCACTTTCTACCTGAATCCTTGAACTAAACTTTAAAAGGAAGAAATTTGGAGTGTGTGGGTTGTTCGATCGTTAACAATGAAAACTACGGTGTGTTTTCGCGATACCAACGAACAATGTGAAGTTTACAACTGTGGTGGTAGACTGGGTTCCGGGGGACTGGGCTCAAGTTTGTCTTTGAGACCTAGGGGCTCCCTAGCCAGGGCCCTGTACCACAAGCAGAAACACGATGAATATCTGAACTCTTTCGACAAAAATGAGGTAAGTTTTATTTACTTCTATCAACTTACAGTCAATTGTTGATTCAACTATCTGTTGTCTAGTGTTTGACATATGTTGGAACGGTCCAATATTTATTCCATTTTTCCGAAATTTCTCCCTGAATATGCCCTTCTATAAATATCGAATTCAGTTTTAGGTTCTAAACTACTTAACTAATTGAAATTATTGGATGCAGCTAATAGTATTGTTGTGGAAGGTTATGCGAATGAATAACTGCATTTATACGAGGGATATTTCGAAAGTATCTAAAAAATGTATCTCATATGCAAAACTTGAGTCTTCTTTAGCTGATGTAGTCTGCGTTTTTGTAGGTTACTCTTTTTTCGAAGTTAGTATAATTAATCCTAATCATACCATCAGAAATATAAGATGTAATAAATGATGATGCCCATATGATGATAGCTAGAAAATAGTTAAGCGGTTAGGTAAGAACTGTATTGTCTTTGGGCATAGTTAAATATTATGGAATGTTTATTGAATCCCAGCAATTTTGAATACAGCTTTTTTTTATACGTAATTGTAGTTTTCCATATGATCCGTTACTCTTTACCAATTTATAAGACATTTCTCCATATAGCCTCCTCATTCTGCATAAGGCACAGATAAATCCCAGCCTCGAGTACTGTTCACATGTATGGGGTGCTGTCCATACTCGGTGATGCTCAGAGGAGGGCTGTCTGACTGATCGCTGACCCTTCTCTAACAGAGCGTCTAGAAAAATTCCACTATAGAGAAATATCATTGGTGTACTTGAATGTATAGTTTAAATGAGTCATTCCTATATAATGTGGTTTCAGTTGGTCAAAAAACAGATTTTTGTTAGATATACCAACATGGCTTTTACTCAGATTAGATTAGATGAGATAGTTTTTCGGTGTAGTGCATGGATTTGAATGCTGCTTCCCTTATTTGTTAGGTCAAAATTGGCGAACTTTCTATTTCCGCAGACTGTACGTGATTTGTCACATTCTTTAAAATCAAAATACACTAGAGCTGGCGCCAAAAAATACTATTTATTGTTTATTGTATTATTTCCATCGGGGTCATTCAAAGTTGGAGCAGATGTAGCAAAACATATGGGTATATGGAATTTAATCCTGGATTGAGCAGTATCTTATAAAAATGGAACCTATATACCAAGAGAACTGGGAAAATCAGAGAAAAAAAGAGCCCAAAACTTGACATTTCACTGACGGCGCAGTGATCGAAGTGTGTCACCATCTCCTGTAGTCTTCTGTAGTTATAAATCACACTCAAGTTTTACCTTTGCATATTTTGGTTATTCTTTTATCAATGGTTTAATCCATGCATCTTGTAGGTCATTGGACAAAATATTGAGCTTGGAGAATAGCGGGAATTCCAATCAATGAACACTAAGAAGTTACAAGATACAAGCAAATATTGTTGAGTTAATTTACAATATACTAAATGGCTATCTGTTGGTGTTCATGTGGCGAAACTGTCAAAGCGCAGCGTTGCAAGATTGGTCGGACATAATTTCTCACAAATCACAGTTAATTAATGGAGAGAGGTACATTTAGTTCAAAAAGCGAGGGGGTGCTTTCTATCTGCAAAGCATGTGATCCCTCAGAACATTGTATCTCCAAAAAATTCCCCAAGTAAAAATCACCCAAATTTTAGGAAAATCCCCCAACCCTGTTTCGGGGTCTGTTTAACAGCACGACTAGCATTGCCTTAGCTTATACTAGTATACGAGTGTAAGCCCCATACCCATATCACTGCCGTGGAAAGCTGCTAGTGGACCCTGCAAAAGCAATCACGTTGATGACTCAGCAGAATAACTACGACAGCAGTAACTCAATAAACTTAGCACCCCAGAGAAGTATAAAAACTAATATTTTCCCGTAATTGGCGATCACATATGACGATCACTATACGCAGAGGAAACCCATCTTTCTCTCCCGTTATCAATAATTCCGCACCAATGATATATGGATAATACATGGCTTCTCCAATTTTCTTTACCATGGCGTTTTTGCGGCGACGCAGCGGGTCCAGATAACAACTCATCCATGTGTTGTAGACCAGTCGTCAAGGTAAGTCATGAGGTGAGCTATCTTCAACTAAAGTCTCGCAGAGGGTTGATTGAGCACAATTATGTATCTTCTGTATAACAAGATCTAAGAGTACTGTTTGCATAAAACAAAAGTTCGCTAATTTTGACCTAACAGATAAGGTTAAAAATCGCTTTAAAATAACGTAACATCAAAGTACTCTTCGGGTTCCTGTAAAGCGAGGTGTAAGCTTTTTAATTTAGATACTTGGAAACCCAAAAATGTTTAGGGATTTTCATGCATTAAATCGCTTATAATTCGAAAATGGTCAGCTTTAGAGAAAAGTTAATGGAAGCCCTTTTAGCCCGGAGTGATCCAATAACCTAAAAAAAATTCTTCGGGTATACAAATCGTAATTTATTAAGAAAAAATTTGTAAGAACAGATTTTATCTGTGAATAATAAATTTTAACTTTTGAGATCACCAGGTATCTAAATTAAAGATAAAACCTTGCTATGCGTAGCTGCTTGAAGTGTATTTTGAGACTAGTTTACAGCAATTCCAATCTTTTTTTAAATTGACAATACATATACGATATTACCACCGATTTTGATGTGTCACAGTAAAACTACCGCTATAACTTTAATATCTCCATCCTAGTGACCATGGGGATCGGAAACCGTAAGAGATATAAAGTCGCTTAAATGGGGGCAAAGTTGCTTATTTAGGTCGCTAACAAAATACCGTTTAGAAAGTTTCGAAATCCAGTTCTTACGCAAAAAAACAGATTTTCCCAAAAAAAAAATTTCTTGACTTTATTTGTAGTGGGTTACCAAAATAAGTTGCAGCATTGCCACTTTTTCTCCTCTATAAGATGGCATAATTAGAAATTCAATATGACGTTTGCTTCGTCTGTTGTCCTCCAGCACCAACTTTATTTTTTTCTTATGAATGCCGTATTGGATGCTTGCACAGATAAATAGAGTTTTTAATTCTTATTTCAAAAATGTATAATATGTTATACATTGATTTTGCCAATCATTAGTTACTTCAAAAAAACAGAATTTCATAGGCAGACCTTGACATTATCGGATAGTCATTTTTTGATATACCAGAACAGACCTCAAAATGAGCATACTAACAGAGTTTGGAAGTTGTAAGACTGACTGAGAACAAGAGAAATAAATCGAGCAGTGAACAAATTTGCAGAGAAGAGTCAGGCTTTGCCTACAAACTAACGCAATCCAACCTCTCCTTATTTATGATTTATATTGTTATTACCATCAATAAAAGATTCATTTTGTGTTGAGGTTTCTCCGTACTTACCTTTTTATTACCTTATAATTTTTATCCAACAACAAATTCATGGCCAACTAAGGAAATACATCTCTGAACTTAGTACTGCAAGGTCCATTTAAATGTACAAAATTCCAATGTAGCGTCCATACGGAAAAACAAAGTTGGCGATGCTATTCGAAAGAAGAAATGACGAATTGAAAATATGACTATGCCACCTTGTAGAGGAGAATAAGTAACAATGACAACATTCAATTCATTTTGAAAATCCATCTCAAAGTCAGAAAAAAATAAAAGTCATTTTGGGATAAATCTGGAATGTGAAACAAATGATTTCAAGGCCTACCTAGGAAATTCTGCTTTAAAAAAAAACTTGGACTGTATGACGTATCATACATTTTTGAAATTAGAATTAAAAATTTATATGTGCAAACATCCAATATGGCGTCCGTAACAAAAGATAAAAGTTGATGCTGGAGGACGAGAGACCAAACGTCACATTAAAATTCCTAATTGTGCGAACTTGCAGAGTAGAAAAAGTGGCAATATTAATGTGTATTTTATTTTGAAACTCCAATACAAATAAAGCCAGGAAAAAATTTAAACGACTTTTGGGAAAATTCTGGTTTTTCGTCTCTCTCCGGATGTACTTTGAATTTCGAAAATTTCTAAGCGTCGTTTTGTTGATTAGCTAAATACGCAACTTTGCTTAACTGACTTCGTATCTCTTACAGTTTCAGAGATCCCAATGGTAAGAGTCGAATTTGAAACCCTGTATACAGATGCACTGTACCTTTGAGTGCAGGCGCTTGTATTTGTAGGCTCACAGACATACGCTTTTTAGTTATGTTCCACCGTCTCGGATGATGTATTTATTGGAGGACTTTCATAAAGTGAGTGAAAAAAATGGCTTCTTATACCCTCTCCATGTGTGCAAAAGTAGATTCCCTAGTTAAGCTGTGCTCATGGTACAGTTACTCCGTCTGTTTACTTGTATCCCATGGAACTGATACGTAGGTAACCAACCAAAACTGGCGAAAACACCTGTACCTGTACCTGTCATCACTCATTAATAAGAGCAACAATAGCTATCCTGCAAGGATCAAAGCAATGACTATGTTCAGCACAAAGGAATGTGTTTGTACTGTTCTCTAAATAGAGGATTGGAAATTAACGAAAAATATTGCCCGCAGACTAAAGACCTAGCTAGAATAAAGAATGATGAGGTGGTTAAGAAAGATAGGAGTAGATTTTAAATACCACTCAAGTTAGGGAATCGCAATACCAGGGGTCATATATAAGAAGCGATCATAATAACCTACTGCCGATAATCATACATGGTGGAATACAGGGTAAGAAGAACGGAGGGAGATATAATCCCTCGTTAAAGAACGTACGAACTTGGTTTACCTTCATATGCACTGGTCTATTCAGAGCAAGGACGTCAAAAGTACGTATAGCCATGATGATTTCCAACCTCCAGAGAAAGCAAGCCTGCAAACATTCAAGCGGCAGCCCGACATGCCTTTGTGACTGGACTACCTGGCGTATGAAATATTCACAGGGCAAATACTGATTTATTATTGAGTAATTGTTAATGATTATTGGAGGAGAGAGGCTTTGATGACCTACACGTAAGGAAAATTGTGGATAATTGGGTTTGCACAGGCTGGCGCTCGACGGTGGATTATTTATGCAATTATATTGTTCCTAACGAGGGGAACAAGTGCCATAAGGACGACGGCAGACCACGCGGTGGACTGGCGCGGTTTTTATGTCCCACAGGTTTTTATGGGGAGGCTTCCTTCGTGGTTATATGTATTAATATTGACGAGAAGAATCGCCAGAAAACTAAGAGTTATTGTACAGCATGGATAATAATTCTTGTTTCTCAAAATAGTTGTGGAAAATTTAATCTATTTTCACCTTAAATGCACAGGTTCTTATCCAGAAAGAGGTTGTGACCATAGTACCCTATTAGAGTTTTTCAATTTGGATTCACTGTCAACAAGACGAAACATATTTGCTTTGTCGTTTTTGTATGGCCTCATTCACAATAAAATTGACTATCAAAATTTACTTGAAAAAATATGTTTCCGCGTTCCAAGGCTAGGGAGTCGACAACAAACGGCATTCTATTGTCAAGCTGGCCGTACAAATGTTATGACAAAATCGCCAATTAATCTCATGTGCTGCGTCATGCAGTGTTACTGAATCGTGTGATATTTACAGTGACAGTTGTGCATCGATTATTAACTGCTATAGATCATCCAATCTTATTTAGAATGTGTTATACTATAGATTTAAGTCCAAGAACCACGTCTCTTTAATTGTTATTTTTTTCAGCGTTTCTTGTAATTGGGTTCCACCTGTTGGAAATAAATAAATAAATAAGGTGTCCCAAAAGTAATAGATCAAACGGACGGGGTGAGAGGAGTCGTTTACAATCAGAGTAAACTGTATAATATGTCCTCATCCGATTGTGCACCATTTTTCAGTTATTCTATTCTTAAGAATTTTTAGGAAATCGCCACTTTTAAGGCTGTCCAAATTTCTCCTAAGTTGTCTTTTGCTATCTCTCTATCAGCTTGACAGGGTATGTTCCCAACGGATGTGTCATTGAAAAAGCTATTAGTAAAAAATTAGTCCAGATAATGTAGGTGCTTCATTCGTCTACGCCTCAATTTTGTCTAGTGTCAACAAGGCCTGTACAAAAAAAAATCAGGATATTATAGGCTTCCAAAATACTTTTTAAGAAATAAGATATTCTAAATACTTTCTGTGCGAGAAACAAAATGCTGAAGGTAGCATTTATCTTAGAAGTTCAGATTCTATGAACTTATTCTATAGCTGCCATTGTCAACCTTATAGATTCTGGATAGTCCTGAAACGATAAGACACAATAAATCCCAAAAGTCAAATCAATGCCTGATCCCGTCAATGTAACAGGTGGCTATCTTGACGTTATTTTAGGTGATAAAAGTGGTTACGGAAGCTGTGCCGTATTACCTAATCTGACCACGGCCTTTTGTAATAAAAATATAATAATAAAACATGTATGAGATAAACATCCTTACAATACAGGGGGCGCAGAGATAACGCCGAACTCATTTCACTTGTGTGATTCTAGTTTTGCGATTTCATTGCAAGATGTCGTATTCGTCAGAATAATACCCAAAAACGGGCATACCGGCAGACAGGCCGGCAGACACACAGACAGACCGACAGAGACAGACCGACAGACAGACCAACATACAGACCGACAGACAGACAGACCAATAAAAAGACCGACAGGCAGACCGACGGAAATGAGTGACATGCTTTTTCGTGATGTACATGTTATGTAATGTTCAAGAAACACAATATCTCATTTTCGAAATTTTTCGCGATTACAATGATTCCTCGCCTGAAAGATTGACGAGCAAATCAAACATCTAAAAAGGCAATACCACGGAGTAGCTGCAGATCAAACTCCTATGGCACTCGCTCCACGGACGTATTTTTTATGAAAAAGCTTATAGTAGTAACATCTTGTGTATAAAAAATTAGCTAAGCAAATATCGAAAATATGCCAGCTTAGAAGAAAACCGTCGACATATACTAAAAGAATAATCCAAATGAGTCCTCTGATTCTTGCAAAATTAGCTATGACTAGTATTTTTTTATGTTGCGTTAATTTGTTCGAGAACGAATCAATATTTGGGAAAGGCATTATGAGCTTAGACTCTGCAAATCGCATCTACAATTCTTTGGTCAACCCAAGTTGTACGTCTTGCGTTTAGACCGAGTAATTATCTGGCCGAGTAATAGTCGGCAAAACTGGGTACTCGGTAAAATGGGTCACGTGCTCCGAGTGCAAAGTACAAACCGAATAACTCTGTGCAACACTAATCCTAGGTAAATGTCTCACATATCGATCCATCTAATTCAAAAAGTGGTTAAAAATCCATGAAAATCTTCATTCGTATTTCCCTAACAGAGTCATTCATTTGCACCATAACGCTGTAAGTCTCCAAGAATCGCTAAAAACGCACCGATAAAGGGAAAGCTAATCCTCCAGACAGTTAAGCGAAGCACGAGCTGTTCAAGGGCTTGATCAGAACTGTCTATATCAATGGAGCGATAACAGGATTAGTTTTGCTGTGAAGTGACCATTAACAGAAACTCTTGGGGAATCATGAAAAGGACTGATCGGATGATAATGCATAAACGGACATTGGTGTCATTTATAAATTGAATTGTGTGATAACATGACTAACTTTACATACAGTAGAATTCGTTGAGCTTCCAAAGTTTTGAAATTCCATCATACAAGGTCTTTTAAAATATATTTCGATAAAAATAGGCGCAATACGTGGGTGGAGTTGTAATCTGGAAGGCTAGAAGTAGGTGGCGCTAGTGGAGCTTAAGACGAGGTTTGCAGGTTATTTGAGATGAAGAAAAGGCAATTATCGGTTTGAAATTTTTCCTAACCTCAAGTACCCTGCTAACCTAGTTTTAATCTGTCAAATATGTTTTTTACTATCTACTTTTGACAGTTTGACCCCCATTTCTTGTTCTAACGCAACTTCAGGAAACACATATTATTTAATTAAAGTAATATATTCTTAGGTGTATTCAAATGTACAAAATTCCAAGATAGCCTATATGAAAAGACAGTTGGTGGAGGAACTCGAAAGAACAAGTCTGGAATTGAAAATTTTACTACGCCATCTTGTAGAGGAGAAAAAGGGCATTGACGATATGCACTTTAATTTGAATTTCAATCTGAAATACAGTCTGGAAAAAATAAACATGATTTTGGGATAAATCTGGTATACGAAACAAATATCTGATAATTTCAAGGCATACCTAGGAGATTCATTTTTTTAATAATTCTCAGGTTTGGTACTGTCAATGTATAACATGTTATGCATTTTCAGAATTAGAAATAAAAACTCTCTATGCAAAAATCCAATATGTATAAGTTGATGCTGGAAGACAATAGACGAAACTTCATATTGAAATAATGATCTTGAAGAAGAAAAAATGCGACAATGTTAATGTGCAATTTATTCAAAAATGAATTTCGGAACTTTCTAAGCGGTATTTTGTCCCGATTTAAGCGATTTCGTATCTGTTACCGTTTCCGACATCTCAATAGTAAGGGCCAAATTTAAAACACCCGGTATATGCTAGTAGTGAAAAGTATGTCCAAAAAACATAGTGGAGGCCTGATAGGTATCAAGGGGTCATTTGACCCCTATATCTTGCTGATAAACGTCCAGCCCAATGTAGATACCCTTTATAACAACTGTTTGATATATCATTTGACTATTTTGAGATAAACTGATTATGCGCACACTACACACTATAAGCAGATTATTAAAAAAACAGTGCCCTCTAAAAATAAGTAACAATAAAATAAATTACATATTACCATTTTCCCGCCATTTCTGTATCGCGGTATCTCCATTCTTCCCGTAATCCAAAGGTGCACATCACTACAAACACTTATGCCACATGCCACAATAGCACGTTTCCTTAGGTATGACAGAGTTTTTCCTTGGAAAACACTGAAATTAGCGCTTCCGAAGAACCTGTGTAAGAAGTCCTCGGTACCGCCAAAGTTTTCCTTCACTCTTCCCGTAATCCTAAGGTGCAAATCACTACAAACACTCACAAACACTTAATCTACAAGCTACAAACACTTAATCTACATGCCACAAACACGGGTGCGGCTCAATTTTTGTTTGAAAATACTGAAAATAACGCTCCCGAGGAGCCCGTGTAAGAAGCCCGCGAAGAATGTTAAAAACAATTGCAATACTGCATACCAGACGACAGACGTTTTTCTAGGAAATTGAAGTTGGCGGACGCCCGAACTCAGTTCTGAGAATTCTTCCAGAGCAGTTTGCATTAGCAAGGGCAATTTCCTTTATTTTAATTTTATTGAGTTCTATATCAGAGGTACCTAATACAGTTGAATACGGCGACAAAAGTATACATAAATCATATTGTGTTATTCTTCCTTTGCAAAATATTCTGTTTGAATATCATATTAACAGATTAACTGCATATCAATTAAATAAGGGTCATTATAAAACGAAAAACTGAAATTCTGCCTTATATTGTGTCAAGGAGGCTGACTCTGCGTCTTTCTTGAAGTTGAATGAAATTTTTTGCTTGTTGGTTTTCGTCAAATTGTGTCATAGTCCAGTCATTATCGGTAACGGTATCAATCGAAATGCTGAACCTGCGCTAAAAGCATATTTTT